AGTGCAGTTACACCAGGGCAGAAAACAAATTTGTTTGTTTTATGGAACTGGTGATTTTCTAGAATCTGAAGAAAACGAAGAGTGGTCAGGGCACAGGTCACAGGCCAACCCCTCTCCCCTCCAGAACTCTGAAATGTTAGGTACTCAATTTTTGAATAGGTAATCCATCTACATGGTTCAAAATTAAATATCCATAAAAAGGTATATACAGAGAAGTCTCCCCCAACTCAAAATTCTCACCACCCACAAAGGCCACTGATGTTACCAGGTGTCTGTGTGTCTTCCTAGAGAGATTTTATAAAAGAGCTTGGGCTTAAATATTAAATGTTTCCTCTTAGATTGAAGTGTTTCTGAGCCATTCCCTTACTCATGTTTAAAAAGTGATAAAAGATATCTTTCCTTGTAACTTGGTTGGGTATTATTTCCTCCCCACTCATCGCTGCCTGCCTCTCCTGATGGGGAAACTGGCCCAGACACTGGAATGAAACGACAGCCAAGGTCTTAAAAAAAAAAACAAAACAAAAACAATAGGGGCACTTGGGCCACGGACCCTGTGTGTCCTGGTCTGGTCAGTTTCCTAAGAGAGCCTTCTGGTGCTGTCATCATGTGTGCCTGTCATGGTGGAAATCGGCTAGAGACTTGACACACCCAAGGGTTGATGGTGACAATGGTGGGTGACCTCTGCCCCTAGAAGCCTGCAGTCATCACACCCAGAGTGTTCCAGTGGAGGCCAGGGGTAGGCAGGCCCAGGAAGGAGGGAAAAGCAGAAGAGGCAGGGACAGGAGGCCTGGAATGACAACTTTTGGGTGGTGAGGTGAGAGAGGCACGCAGGTGAGTGGTGTCAGTGAGCCTTGCCTGTGCCAGCCTGTGCCCTGGCGGGGAGGAAACACTCACCTATTCCCATGTACAAATCACAAATCAGGACATCATATGTCTGGAGAATGGAATCATCTCCCTGACAAAGAACTGCCAGGTGACCTGGCACAGGCCATTGAACCACCCTGACATCTGTTTGCTTTGGAAGGGGGGAGGGTGGGGCAAGCAATTTCCTCCCATGTAAAATAGAGAAAACTTGGCTTTCTGGCATCAGTATCTTACCTGAGTTTAAACCACCCTTCTATAAGTGAACTCATGCCCTGCCTCCTGCTCCCTTCAAAGTTTCTCACCTTGTTAATAAAACAAAGAAAGCCAACACAACACTCGTTCCCAAACTTCTCTAGTTCCGTGAATGGTAGAAAAATTCTGGCAGTCACCTTGATTGGAAATTTTCAGGTCAACCTTCATGGTGATTTATATCTTTTCAAAAATATTCCCCACATCTTTTCCTACCTAGCATTCTACCTGACTTTGTTGTTCACCTCACACAAAAGCCTCCTGTGTCATTCTCACCCACCCCATGCAACTTGTCCTCTGCCACTAGGCTTGCACGGTCATCTCATCATGCCACCAGCTTCCAGCCCAGTGTCATGGTCATGCCTGCAATGTGCTGCCCAACACAGGAGCCATCAGCCACATGTGCTTCTTTAAGCCTACATTTAACCAAAATTTGTGTTGAAAACTCAGTTCCTCACACACACTGGCCACATTTCAAATGCCCAAGAGCCACACATAGCTTGTGGCTACTGCATTAGAGCAGATGACAGAACATTTCCATCACCGCAGACAGTTCTATTGGACACACACACTGGCCACATTTCAAATGCCCAAGAGCCACACATAGCTTGTGGCTACTGCATTAGTGCAGATGATAGAACATTTCCATCACCGCAGACAGTTCTATTGGACGGTGCTGGCCTATATAAAATATAGGCCTATATACGTAAAATCCAGATTCTTCACACCAGCATCCAAGGCCAGCTGTCATTTAGAGCCAGCTCATACTTCCCAGATTGCCTGCTACTTTCCCAAAACACTGACACTTGGCTTTGTTCAGGCCAGCCTCTCCTGTCCCTCCAACAAATTGTGTTCACCTGTGACTCTGTGCCTGTGCTCATGGGATGCCCCCCACCCCCCTCCCCCATTGCCGAGACAAATGAGTAGGTAAATCCGAAGTCACAGTCTCTACAGGAGTGGGATTTTTTATCATGACAAAAGGCAATGAGATGTATGAAATTTTTATCCCAGCAAAATGCGCTGCTAACTAACAAGCCCAGGGAAAGGGGCCTTTCCCCAGAAGACTGTATTGAGCTTCCAGCACGTCAGGACTTGCGAGATGATTAAATGAAACGCCACTTGTCTTGGCACTTAATACTGATTTGGGTCATTTCTTATTTAATTTTTTTCACATGGGCCCGTATTTTTTTCTCCCAAATAAATTGTCAGGTGATGGGAAGCAGAGATAAGTTCTTACATGTATTTCTTGTGCACACCCCTTTTCATCTCATATTTCCATACCAACGATGGGTCAGAGGTTGCAAACTGGCCACTGCCTGTAGGCCAGGTACCATCCATAGGAGTGTTGTTTTGTCCAGAGTGTATTTTTAAGAACTTTGAATCAGTTGCTGACATTTAAAAATTGCTATTTCTATTTTCTTGAAAAACCAGAGTATGTGGCAAACCTGGGCAAGCATTCACACATAGCTCTATTAGCTGGAGCTCAATGCCACCTGCTCCCTTGAAAGAGGGAGAGTATTCTGTTTACCTTGCTTCCCCTGGTTAGTTCACTCCCTTGTTATCTGCCTGGCCCCTGTAGGCTTCTGTGTTTACAACTCTTGCGGAAGACACTCAATAAATTAACTGAGAATGGAAATACTACACTCTGTAAACACAGCCAGGCAGCCCTTAATGCCTGTCTTAATGGGCAATGTGTTTGTTTTATGCAGCTAAAATCAAACTTCTTATTTTAGCCCTTAGCTGAAGACATTAACCTCATGGACAGAGTTTAGCTATTCTTCCCGGACTTGACAAGAACTCATAATGGATTAGGGAAATGGTCAACTGGAAGAACAAAAAGCAGCCAGCCTAAATAATCACAGGCAAATAATTGAGACACAAAGAGTATAAAATTGTTCCGTGAACACTGAGTGTTCCCTAAAACCACGTGGAAATCATAGCCCTCATGATGATGAGTGTTGCTGGCAGCTGCCCAATAAATCTGGGGCTCGATACAGAAAGCCTAAGCCTGCTGGTTAGCTCTAACCCATTTTGGCTTCTCTCTTGAACGTCTCATTATAGACTACAGTGTTCTAAAAACTGCTTTCATGTCTTGCCTCCCCCACTTGACCGTAAGTTCCTTATAAACTCCTTTGATATTTTTCTTATTCCTGGTGCAGTAGATCAAGGGATCCTTAACCTGGGATCTACGCATTGACTTTAATCACAGGCAAAAACACAGTGGATTGTCAAAGCTCCTTCTTAAACAGCACATGCATACCCCATGGGAAGGTCTTCAGGACTGGGACAGAAATTTAACCTCAAGGTATTTGTATAAAAACACAGTAATGAAATGCATAGGGGCCTTGATAGCACTCATCTGGTCTGTTAGCTATCATTCCAGTTTTTTGTCTTGTGTGCATTTGAAAGGTATAGCTTCTTTGTTTTCGTTAGGGTCGTGGATAAAAATGTTAAGCCACACAGGGCCAACTCGTGCAGCACGCTGGTAGAGACTAAGTGAACAGGGAGCAAAACTGTCATTCTTCGGAAGCACCAGTCCAACCATGTACAAACACACTAATCATATTTAATCCATACTTCTCCATTTGCCTGAAAGGATACCAGAGAATCTTCCAGATGCCTTTAAATCAAAATTTATTAAATTTGAACATTCTCCTTATCGATGAGTAATTTAATGACTTTTTCATAATAGGAAATGTGGTTAATTTGATGTAAACTACATCTTCATGAATTTCTCCAGGTTTGTAAAAGACAAGTGTTTCTTCTCTAAATGTATATAAGCCTTATGTTTAATAATAAGGGGCCTTGGTGTTATCAGCACCACACTCTCCCGAGTGAGCCACGGGCCGGCCCAAGCAAGAACTTTTAAAAACTAAAATTTATAGTCAATTTATAACCAGGAGTAGTGGTGCTTGGGAACATATTTTACCCACGAATGTTTTTGAACATTAGTTTTGTTGCTAGGAGCCATTAATTTATGAAAATCAAAGCATGGTAAGGTAAGATATCCCGGGAAGTCTGGAAAAAGAGACTTTTATGAAGTGGGCTGAAGACACAAAATCTGAGAGGCTTAGAAAATGGGGGGGGGGGGGGGGGGGGGGGGAGCATTTCACATGAAAAAAAATTTTTTTAAATACAAAAGCAGGAAATGTTTAAAATTTTAGTGGAAAGTCATGTGTCAATTAAAGGATTCATATACCAGACACAGAACACTGCATACCCTTAAGAGCCATCTTCTTAGGAATAAGAAGCATCTTCTAACAACTATCTTCCCTCAATATTCTATTGTGTTAAATGCAGTAGCAGAAGAATGGCCCCCAAAGATGCCCATGCCCTAGTCCTTGGGACCTGTAAATATGTTAAGTTATCTGGCAACAAGGAGTTAAGGATGCAGAAGAAGGTAAGGTTGCTAATCAGCTGCCTTTAAGATAAAGAAATTATCCTTGATTATCCAGGAGGGCTCAGCGTGAACACATAGGTCCTTTAAGTGTCAGAGAGAGAAAGGCTGAGAAAGACTCAATCAGCCATTCCTGGTCTTGAGATGGAAGGGAGCCATGACACAGGGAATGCAGGCAGCTTCTGTAAGCTGCAAAAGACAAGGAAACTGACTCTTCCCTAGAGTCTCCAGAAAGGAAAGCATCTCTGTAGACACCTGGATCTTAGCCCACTGAGACCCATATCAGACTTCTCACCTACAGAAGTATAGATAACATATTTGTGTTGTTTAAGCCACTAAATGTGTGGTAATTGGGTATAGCAGCAACAGGAAACTAAGACAGTACCTTACAACTGTTTTGGAGAAAGAAAAGCCCTGTAACAATATTATTGGCTAAACAATAAAAGTGTTCCTCTTTCTGAATTGAAGAAAAAAAATAAAAAACACTCACCTTTTTATAGGTTTTTTCTTCGTTTTGTTTTCCAGGTGCTGCATCTCCATTTTCAGCAGCAGACGACATCTACGAGCAAAATATTCCTATTTGAATTTAATCTTTAGATGCTATGGAAAGTTAACCTCCAGATATTAAGAAAGATGCTATGAAAGTCCAACCCATATCATGTAACTTTCTTTCTATAAGGCCTTTTTAAAAACTTTTCTTCCAATTATAAATGCTTACTGTAAAAATGCCTGGAAAGTACCAAAAAATATGAATCAAAACTGAAAAAATCACTCTTAATTCTATGCTTTAGGGCAACTCAATTTTGGCGTATTTGTTTCCACATTTTGTTCTATGCATTTTCATATGAAAAATATTATAATACCATTTTCCCAGTGTTTTTTCAGAAAACACTTATGTAATAAGCACCTTTCCCATTTGATTATAAAAATATCATTGTATGATTTTTTTTTTTTTGTAGTTTCTCACAGGGCCTGGTTTTCCAAAGCCTTGCAGTTTCAAATATTGACCTTGCAAGGACCGGAAATTTTCCCCAGGCTAGTGAGTCTCTGTTGCTAGATAAGAATTTTTTTTTGTAGTTGCAAGATACACCACTGTATGGAAACCATTATGTGTTAATACTTTAGTTAATATCAAAAGACAGTTGAGGCAGTTGAAGGGTTTTACTCCTGAAAACAATAAAACAAAAACTACTTTGTGTTTATATCTTTGTGTAACTTCAATGTTTTCTTGGATTAGATTCCTGGAATTACTAGGACATATTAGGGTATTAAGAAATTTAAACCTCTTACTACATTTTGCTAGATATTTTTCCAAGAATATACCCGTTTACATTATGTGACCAGGAGAGTTATCAGCAGTGAATGGGAGCTGCTTTCCTTACACACTTAGCAGTGACTATTATCATTTTAAATATCTTTGCTAATCTGACAGGTGAAAGAAAGCATCTTCTGATATTAATCTGCATCTTTGAAAATTACTAGTGAAACTTAACATAGTTTTCATATCCTTTTTAGCTCTTTGTATTTCTTCTTTTGAGTTTTCTGTTGTTTTGCCCATTTATCTATTGGGGTCTTAGTGTTTCAGTTATTAATTTTTACCTATTATGGTTACTAATATTAGTGATTTCCTTATTGATTTTTATGTTTTTAAGGTTATTAGTTTGTTGCCAAGCACATTATTAATATTTTTCTATATTGCTATGTGTCTTTCAATTTGTTTTATAATTATAATATAAACAAGTTTTACATTTTTACATACTCAAAACTATTGACTACCTTTGTGATTTTTTCCAGTGTTTTCAGATAAAATACTTTTTCTCATTGGGAGATATCAGATGTTCAACGTATGTTTCCCTTGCTTTTTATGATAGGATTTTCACATTTCACTTTTAATTCATCTAAATTTTTAAAATCAGTTACTTCCATGATAGACAAAGGTCACTGCATAATCAGGGAACCACAATATTTAAGAGTCTTATCTTAAATTTCATAAAGAACATTTAAATACACCAAGGAGAGATAAAATTTCTGACTTCCTTATGTCTTTAAAGCATGCTTTAAATCCTGGACTTTTAATAAACACAATGTATGCTAAACCTAAGAATTCGCCAGTCATCTCTTGGCACTGGTACTAAATGAGTTTACCCACTCTTCCCATAAGCTTGCTATGACTGAAAATTTACCATGCAAGAAATGAAAGCACGGACCATGAGAAGCCAATATCATTAGATCTATTACTGCCCACCAGTCAAACCACTCTCCTAAATAGCTTTTCAATTCCACTTGTGTCCATTCAGTATGTCTATACTAGAATAGGGAGTCTTCAAGGACAGATGCTTCAAACTACTGCTTCCCATACTGTATTTGCTTAATCTATTTAGAGAATAATTAATTTTTCTAGTATCTTTTTTTTTTTTTTGTCTTTTTTCGTGTCCGGCAATGGATCGCAACCCTCAGTGTTGCTCCCGCGCCTCGCTCAGCCAGTGAGCGGGAACCGGTCTGTATGTGGGATCCGAACCCTCGGCGGGAGCGCCACCACGCTTCCCAAGCAGCGCACTATAGCAGTGCGCCACCGGGCCGGCCCTCTAGTATCTTTATAATAATACTTTGATGAGTTTTGAATAAAATATTGGGGGAACTAAACTGTCTGAAGGGCTTTATAATATCAGGCTCACGGTAAAAACACAAACCTTCAACTGTTAATAGAGCCAACAGAATGAAGACGTCCCTGAAGAATGCCATTTCAGTAACTTCACTTCTAAGACTTTGCAGCTTATAAAACTTGAAACATTTCAAGAGCAACTCTGAAAGGTGCTTAAAAAACCAATCCTGATGAAAGGTTGACTAACTGGCATAAATGGAGAATGGACAGATAATCAGATGTTTTTAAAGTATCTTTTATTCCTTTGTAAACCACCCCTGAGTTGACAGTAGGAAAAGAGGAGGAGAGAAATGGGTAAACCTCTATTTATAAAAATCAATTCCTTTTAAGCAGCACAGAACAGATAATAATGACAAAGGAAGGCCATGAACTATCAGCTGGATTCAAAAGTTTTTTCCTGTAGTGTGATGTTTAACAAAGGTCACACGGACCTATTAACCAGGGACATCCGAGTAGGAAAGACCAGTGAGATGCTTGGGATGCCTGGTAAACAACAGAGGACTGTTAAAATGGTCACAGTGCTGATGACTATTTTTTCCTTGTGGAGTATACTAAAAAGCATATGTATTTCACAGGGCCTGGTTTTCCAAAGCCTTGCAGTTTCAAATATTGACCTTGCAAGGACCGGAAATTTTCCCCAGGCTAGTGAGTCTCTGTTGCTAGATAAGAATTGTGGCACAATAAGGTTGCTGGCTCAAAGACAGATTAGTTACTAAATGATATCTAAATTGCTGTAAGAAGGAATGTTTGCTAAGACCAAGCTGTTGTTGATAGGACCACTTAATTGTCCACTGGAATGTCATCTGGCTTGTTTCACTGATACCAGCCTATATTGTTAAACTATAACCCCACCTATGTTTCTTCCTGTAACTTCCTGGTCTGGAAAATAAATGCAGGAAGAGAACCCCAATTCGGGGTTAATTTCCTGAGGAACAGATGCCTCTTGCTGGAGGGCCCCAGGGAAGTTAACCACTTCAGGGCTTCTCACTGCTCAGAAGAGATGGGCTTTGAGTAATCCTTTGTGTCTCCATCACCCAGGGGAAGTGGGGTGAGAAATCCGTGGGGGGCAAAGCAACACAAAGCAACAGTTCCTAGACTTGTTATGTTTCTGCACCACTTAAGGTACATTAATTGTAACTATGGAAGCTGTACTGGATTGAATTATGTCCCCCCAACACTCCCTGAAGTTTGAATTGTGCCCCCCAAGTCTTACATATTAGAAACTTAGCCTCCACTATGACTGTTAAGAGGGTGGGAAATCCTATTATGGTAATCAAAAGGTGGAGCCTTGAAGAGGTGATTGGATTGTAGGAACCTGCAGTAGTGAATGGATTAAAAATGGTGGTCAGGGGCATGGTTCTGAGGGCTTTTTTTTTTTTTTTTTGAGACCGGCTGCACCGCGCTCAGCCAGTGAGCACACTGGCCATCCCTATATAGGATCCGGGGAGTGCTGCTGCGCTCCCAGCACCGCACTCTCCCGAGTGTGCCACGGGCTCGGCCCCTGAGGGCTTTAAAAGAAGAGGAGGGTCTGTCTTTCTCTGTTGCTCTCTCTGCTTCCACCATCTTGCAATGTGAGACCCCTGGGTCACTGTCGCCACCACCAGATGGACCTTGGACTTCACAGCCTCAGAAATCGTAAGCAATAAAAGTCATTTTTCTCTATAAATCACCTGCTTCCAGGTATTTTGTTATAAGCAACAAAAACAGACTAGTACAGAAGCCAAGATAAGTATGAATTAAAAACACTGTTTTCAAAAACATTATAAACATGTATATATATATCCATGTATGCATAAAAGGAAGGAGAAAAGACAGGGCTTTAAAAGAAGAGGAGGGTCTGTCTTTCTCTGTTGCTCTCTCTGCTTCCACCATCTTGAGGCCCCCGGGTCACTGTCACCAGCACCAGATGGACTTTGGACTTCACAGCCTCAGAAATCGTAAGCAATAAAAGTCGTTTTTCTCTATAAACCACCTGCTTCCAGGTATTTTGTTATAAGCAACAAAAACAGACTAATACAGAAGCCAAGATAAGTATGAATTAAAAACACTGTTTTCAAAAACATTATAAACATATATATATATCCATGTATGCATAAAAGGAAGGAGAAAAGACGTTCTCAGAAATACCGTGATTATCTACAGATGATGGGATTATGAATGCTTTTGGTCTTCATTTTTATATTTTGCTATGTTCTCCAATATTCTGCAGTGAGCACTGCTACATTTAAAAATAAGAAAAATACTAATGCTATTAAAAAATTGAACCACACAGTAATTAATAGCTGACACCACATCTCCTGGGTCTTGCCCCTTTAGGCATGCCGACACTCATAAACATTCCTGTTTCTGTTTGCTTAATGTTTGTTTTAAATTTGATAATGTCAAAATTAAAGGTCATAAATTATATACATGTTTTAGAATATTAGTAAATAAATATACAACAAAAAAAGGTAAGGGCTCAAAAGAAAAAAAATTTAAAAAAGAAGAACAAAAATACTTAAAAAAAATAAAACAATAACAAAGAAAAAATATTAAAAAGAAAAAAAGAAAAAGATAAAAAGGTAAGAGCTGTAAACTGACTGAGTTGGTCAGAATTAATTAAAAATATAGACTGTATTTCCGTACCTTTGTCAATGAAATGGCAGGTCATCTGTAGTTGGTAGAGATAGGTGGCCTATTCATTGCTGAGACTGTCTTCTTTCCCAGGTTCCTGTTAAAATAGAAATCACTGGTCATTATTTATTCATATCCCTACCTCAGCTCTCGAAAAGGATCCAAGGTGGCTATACAGACACATACAATGTAATCAGTTAAAATTAAAATAAAGGAAGGAATGTGTATGAGGGAAAAATAAAGGTGGGAAACAAGATGATGACAGCAATCTGGGCTATGCAGAGAACACAAGCCATGTGACCTGGCAAGGTTGCTGAATAAACTACACAGTCTCCAATTTGACTCTCAGATTCCCAGTTGCCACAGCAAAGGAAGACGTGATCAGTTATCAGCTGCCCAGTGTTGAAGAGATAAAAGCAAACCAGTTGTTCAAACAAACCACAGGTATCTGGGGATTGAGGCTAGAGTGGACATTTCTCATAGAGGGGACTTGATGTGTGGACAATTTTCAATATTGTCCCTATGATAAATCAACTGTGATTTTCATAAGGGTTGTTTAGATGACAGAATTTCAAAGAAGAGTTCAACAAACCTCTTTTGCTACAATTATGTTTTATACAGAAGAGATACTTGCTTGTTATGATCAATTTTAAAAGTGCAGAGAGGTATAAAGTAAAAATGAATCAGGTCCCACCCTTTTCTCCTTGAGAAAAGCAATGTTAAGTTTGTTGTACAGCCTTTCAAAATATTTCCTATGCTTGTTACACACACACACACACACACACACACACACACACACTTCTGCCAATTGCTCTTTCCAGTATATTTTAGATATTTTTTCAAATCTCTATATTCTATCTCATTTAAAAATAAGTGCATAACATTCCACAAGATGGACATACCATCATTTAACCAACCACTCCCTGTGAATGAACATTTGGACTATTTCCAGGTTTGGCTACTATATATAATCAGCAGGAATAAACAGCCTTATTCAAACATCCTTAATGTTCTAGTACCTTTATTTCTATGGGAAAGAATCCTAGAAGTGGAATTGTGGGGGCCAAATTTGATAAGCATATTAACTATTTGAATGACTATTGTTACATTTCTTTCTATAAAAAGGTTGAAGCAATCAGTCCAATGGTGCATGAAGAGAACCTGCTTATTGACATACCAATTCCCATTGGATGTTCACCATCTTTAAAACTGTTTGCCAAACTTATGGGCAAATAAGGGCATCGCAGTTGTTTCAATCCATGTTCTCTCACTTCTAATGAGGCTGATCCTTTTTACAGGCTTACTGGTGATTTACATTTCCAGTTCATGCCCTTTGCCTATTTGTATACTGGAATGTTTATCATTTTTCTTTTTTAATCAATTTGTAAGATCTCTTAGTATATTAAACATTAACTGTGATATGGGTTGCAAACTATTGTTCTTCTTTTGGCTTTGTTTATGGTGTTTTGTTATTCAGACATTTTTAATTTTTACACAGTGAAATCTACAAATTTTTCCTTTATTGATTATGGAAGAGAGTTCTCCCTAACCTGATGTTACACATGTATTCTCCCATATTTTGTTCTAATACCTTAACATTTTCATTTTTAAAATTAGATCTTTACTCCAAATAGAATCTAATCCAAATGGAATCTTCCCCCAAATGGATAGCTAATTACCCTAACATCATTTACTTTATAATCTTACTTTATAATCTATCTATTCCTTACTAGAAAGCCATGCACCTTTAGAATACAATAGGTTTTCCCATGTACCTCAATCTATTTATGGACTATACTCTGTTCTAAAGACTTACTTGAGGATTCCTGAGATAAAATCATATTGTTTTAAATGCAGTAACGTGACCATATGCTTTAATATCTGCTGGTGCAAGTTCCCCATACAGACTATTTTTCTTTCAAATTTGGCAATTTTCTTGCATTTTTTTTTATATGAACTTTAACATCAATGGATTGATCTGACAACACCTTCACCCTGTAAGTTGGGATTCTGACTGGAATTATATTAAATTTATATACTGATTTGGGAAGGATTATTATCTTTGGAATTTTAACTTTTCTTATTCAAAAAGATGGTATAGTTCTTTGCTTCAAATATTATTTTACGTATTTTACTACAATCTTATTTTTTTGTATTTGTCATAAAGTCTTACCAAACTCACTCCTAGATATGTCCTTGATCACTCTTTTAAATAGGGATTTTTCTATTTGCATTTGTAACCAGTTATTAACCCATATGAAGAAAAACGATTAGGTTTTATCTATTATCTTTCTTTCACCCAGTCATTTCACCAAATCCTCTCCTAGAATTCTAAAAGATTTTAGGCAGTCTCAGTCACATCACCTGCAATATTTATACAACTTATTTCAATTTCTTATTGCATTTACTGAACTTCTATAACAATGCTGAGTCATAGCAGTTGAGTAATGGTAGTAGTGCCAGACATTAATAACGTAATCCTTCAGTAGTCATCATCTACCATGATGCTTTTGTTGGTTTGGTAACATGGTAGGTTCTTTCTGCTATTCCTAATTTACTATTAGTTTTTATTAGGAATATCTGCTGAATTACATCGAATGTGTTTTTAGCATCAGTTGGTGAAATCACACAATTGTTCTCCTATATTCTGCTGTACCAATTCATGATGTTGAGAGATTTCAAAATGCAAAATCATCCTTGGATTTCTAGAATAAACCTTAACTTTGATTTGATTTGCTAATCCTTTTAAAAGAATATTTTCATGAGTGATATTGGACAATTGTTGTGGTCCCATCTTTTCAGGTTTTGGTATTAAGGAATTGATATTTTTCATAAAATTGGAAGGCTTTCTATCTTCATACGCATTCAGAAAAAAACTGAGTTTCTATATTTATCTCGAGATTTATAACCTCTCTTGATCAAATTTTGGTAATTTATAATTTGTTAGAAAACCATCAATTTCTTTTAGATTTTTAAGTTTGTTGCCATAAAGTTGCACGTAATATTTTCTTACTGATTTATTTTAATCCTTTTGGGATCTGGGTAGTGTCTTTTTTCTTAGTCCTAATGTTGTGTGTGTATATGTATTCTTAATATTATATATACATTTTCATTAGTCAGATTTTCCCTTTTTACTTGTTTTGTGGCTATTTCCATTGTTTTTAGCTTTTACTGTTACTAATACCTTCATTCTTTTGGCTTTTATAAAAAATTCTTAGATGCAACACTTAGTTTACTTTTCATTCTTTTTTTAAAAAATAGCACCAAAAGCATTTAGGCTATTAAGTATTCCCATATACATTAGCAATTTCCCCATAAATTTTGATGTGAAGTGTTCTACTTAATTAATTTCCAGATAATTTGTCATTTTGTATTTGATTTTCAACTTGATTCAAGAATCATCTATAAGAGGGTTTCTTAATTTCAAGCATTTACATCTTACTTACTATTCTTTCATTACCAATTTCTTGTTTTATTGCATTGGGATCAAAAACAGATGAGTAAAATATCCTCCCCACCCCCCACCTCAAATTCACTAAGTTTTTCTCTATGGCCATAGAAATGGATTTTTTTAATAAATATTCCGTAGACACAAAAGAAAAATGCACATTCTCTGTTTATAGGGTACAAATGCCCTATATAATTACTACCCTGTATTATTGTCTACTTTGTCAAATTATGAAAGAAATACCAAAATTTCCTAATATGATTACAGTTTTATCACATTCTCCTATACTTCTGATTTTTTTTTTTTTGCTAACATTCCATAACTATGTTGATTAGTGAATAAAGGAGATGCCTATAACATTGCTCTTGTGAGCTGTACTCTTTACACCTTAAAAATATATATTTTTCTCATTTAATAATCTTGATCTTGGATTCCATATTAGTTGATGCTAATATTCCCACTTCTGCTTCCCTTTTGTTTGCATTTGCTTGGCATATCCCTGTCCGTTTTATCTTCAGCTTTTTTAGGCTGTCATTTAGTTTTACCAATGTTTCTTATAAATAACTTAAAACTGAATTTTTATTTTGTTTTTGCCAATCTAAGAGTCCTTATTTCAAACAGGACATCGAAAAATTCACATCTATTGTGATAAGATCACACTTGCTTTGTTTCCACCATGTGTTTTCACTATTAATTACATTGGTTGCTACTGAATTCATTTTTACTCCTTCCTTCTTTGCTGGATTAATCAAATTTATAATTCCATTTTTTTCTTCCTCATAATTTAATATTTTTATTCCATTTATATTTTGCTCATAGTCATCTTTCTATTTTTAAGTCATGTAAAAATCCTGTATTTTTCTATTAAAAAAAACAAAAGGACTCTATGTTCTCCCCACTCCGCTGACACTCTTCTCCTGGCCTGTGGTGGTAGACATGGAGATTAGCCACCCAGATCTCCCCAGGAGGAGGGGGATTGCCCACCACAGGGCGTGTGGTCAGCAGATGCCTCTGGCCGTCAGCTCCTTCAGGGTCTGTTTCTCCTGGGAGTCACCACACCCCAGGTCACGGCCTTCCTGGGCAGCCACATGCTGTGACTAAAGAGCAGGCGGCATTCTCTTCCCATAGTTCCCTGCTGATAGACATGGTCCAGGCTGGGCAGGTTCTGCCTGGGAGTCTGACGTCAGCTTCTTCTGTTCTCCTTTCACAAGTTGTGTTGGTTTCCTAGGGTTTCCCTAACAAAGTACCAGAGACTGGCTTAAAATAACAGAAATTTATTTTCTCACAGTTCTGGAGGCTAGAAGTTCAAAATCAAGGTATCGGCAGGGCCATGTTCCCTCTGAGACTCTGGAAAGGATCCACCTTGCCTCCTTCTGGCTGGTGGCCAGGGATCCCCAGTGTTCTTGGATTGCAGCTGCGTCATTCCAATCTCTGCCTCTGTCGCCACACAGTCTTCTCCTTGTGTGTCTTCACATAGCTTTTCCTCTTCTTACAAGGACACCAGTCATACTGGATTAGGGCCCACCCTCATGACCTCATCTTAACTTGATTATAGCTGCAAAGACTCTATTTCCAAATAAGGTCACATGCACAGGCACTGGGGGTTAGGATTTCAACATATCTTTTTTGGGAAACACAATTCAACCCATAA